GGTGGGGAGGGGCGGGCAGGCGGAGGTCGCAAAGCCCTGGGTGGCGAGGCCCGTGGGGGTGCGTGTGGCGCCCTTGGTGGCTGGGTGGCTGTCCGCGCAAGAGGTGGAATCAAACACCGATCTCCCGAGCGGGAAGCCTAGGTTGAAGGCCCGCGGAGGGGAGCCCCTGGCGGCCGCCTCTGGGCGCGCGTGGGCCGCTGGCGCGGCGCGACGCCGCACGGTGGCGCCTGCCCAGCAGGGCGCAGGAAGCCGCACCGCAGCAGAGCACGCGCCCGGCGCGATAATGTCCGTGCCCGCGCATGCGAGGGCGCTGGGTGTGTCTGCGCCCCGCGCACCTGTCCAGCAAGCGCTGCAGATCCCCCCAGCTTCCCGGCTTGTGGCAGCGCTCCGTCCCTGCGTCCCGCGCGCCGCGCCCCTCCAGCCGCGCCCGCCAGACCGCCTCGTCAGCGGGGAGGCAGTCAAGCAAGGCGACCTCTGCGCCATGCTGCGCACGTGTCCGGTTTTGACATTGTTTGAGAAGAGTGAGCGCGGGCACCACGCAGAAGCGACGATTTGCATGGGTTGCAGACACAGCAGGGCGATCTATCACCAAGGAGGCGCGCAAAAGGGCGCTTCGCCAGGGTTCCCGGCGCCCCGTGCCAGGAGGGCAGCGCCGCATGTGCTGATGATGCCCCTGCCTCGTTCGCGCAGCAGCACTGGGGCTGGCGCGTGCAGCGGCCGCCACTGGCGACAGCGGCCGAAGAAGCGCGACTGCGGTGACCGGGTGCCGCTGGCGGCCCTACTAATGATATGCCTGCTCACCTGCCGCGCCAACCCCACTGCACGTTGATACAAGCCTGGCCGAGCGAAAGGGCAGTCCAAGATCACGCACAACCCGAGTGACAGCTGCGTCCCCGCGTAGCGGAACATTATGTCATAAGAGAGCGCGTTCCAGTCTGCTGCCGCTGCTGGGGCTGGGCCGGCCAGCAGCTGAACCGGCGGTAGCGATGCTGGACCGGCGCCCTCCGCGCCACAGCTGCGTGTTGGGTGGGTGCTGTGTGTTGCGGGGCCAGCAGCAGGTGACCGCCCCAGAGCTGCAGCTGCAGCAAGGGGCTGGAGGCAGTCGCGGGCGTCGTCTTTGTCGATTAGGGGCCAACGCAGCCGGCGCGCCAGGTGCCTGCGCAGGTGGCAACCCGGCCGTAATGTGCAGATTTGATGGTAACGGGGCTTCATGAGGATGCAAAGGAACCAGCAAGTGCCGGAGATGGTCATTATCGGACGCACCTGGCCACGGTTGTCTTGCCAGAGCCCGGGAGGCCCTTCACTAGCAGCAGCACCAGGGGCGGGTGCTGCGACAGCTCGCACATGGCAGCGCCGTCCGAGGTGTCCAGCACGGGGCGCAGCGGCTGGCCGGCTGGCAGACTCGCATACATGCATCGGCTACAAAGATCAGGTGTAAATCAGTACACAAACGCTGACAAACACGCGATCGACGATGAGATCAACCGTGGCATTATACTATTATTGTATGCAAATGAAGTTGTGCAGAATCTGGCACCCAAGATGATTATCGCGCTACTGCTACGGCGCGGGCCATGGCCTGTGTGGCACCAGTGCTGCGCAGGCGTCACTACAATACCACCGAACTTTTACCCTCTCCCTGTGATCCTCACCAGAGCACATCCTGAGTCGCGTGGATGTTGCGGCGCACTGTCAGCGTCAGCGTTGCAAAGCATTGCAGCGGAATCATCCACATTGTCGATCACCCGAGGGCGTGTTGTGCAGATAGAGCACTACGCCCTGCTGCCTCCCTCAAAATATCACGGCCACGATCCAAGTCTGATATTGCATGCCAAATATGACATCATGTTGCTGCTTTCATTGAACAGTTATATCAATACACCAGGCGCCAAGCGCGGTCCTTGGGACGTCATCATTAACACCAGACCTCGGCGACTTGAGCGCCCTGCTAGCTGAAACCGACGGATGCGACGGCTCCACCCACATGGGCAGCATCGTATGCCGCAAGCACGCAGGCTATGCAAATCGTCTCGTTATAGAATTTTGTGAATGCATGGATGCGCCCGCAGCTGTTGGGTCGCATGTCGCACATCTACCAGGCTGCTGTTTCGTTGCGTCCTGGCGAAGCCGCCCACATGCTGCAATGGGTCACCAGCACGGGCTGACACACACGTGAGATGCCCGTTGAAAGAAACATATATTGTTGGCATAACACATTCACAACCCAACACTCTCATCAGCTCGCCTGCTCGCGCCCGCGCCCAAAACTCCCTCGCTGGGTCTGTGAATCGTGAGACATCGTGCGGCACCGTGTCAAGATACTCTGCTGCTACACTCGTGCTTTCTACGGCCTCTGTGATCCAGCCGCTTCACCAGCTTTTTCGATCAGGCGCTTGGGCACACCTTCACGCACCACGCCGTCCCAACGACCCCATTGCGATCAGAAAAATGAAGGTTATTGTGACACTGCTGGCGCTGTGCGTCTACGCCAACGTGTGCGGCGCTGCACGTCCCCTGAGAGGTGCGCTGCCGGTGTGGTTGCGCCCTGGCGGTTCCTGGGCCAAAACAGCTTGCCCAAAATGCAGCGGCAAAGCGAGTCAAGGGGTTGCGCTGTGGTGCAATGACAGCACTAGCAGCACTGCTGCTGACAAATGCAGAAGTGCACTGTGGGTCCCCCTCGCCTCGTCAGCTTGACTCTCCCAACAAATAGCAGCCAAGCCCGCCGCCTGCGCCACCCTCCCTCCACCCCCTTGCGCCCTGCGCATCGCAGACGTTCCTGCCCGCCGCAGCGCCCTCCGCGGCCTGTCGCAGTACTTTGTCGACGACCAGCGCCTCACGGGCACGAACATCTTCGCCAACCAGCACTTCAGCCGAATGAGGCTCCCGTCCGCCCGCGACCTGATCAGCAACAACGCCCAGATCGAGGCGTCCACCCCCGACGGCGATAAGTCCTACCTCATCGACAGCCAGGCCACCCAGGTCATCAAGCGCCAGGACTATGATGCAACCAAGGACCTGCTCAATCAGCAGGTCGAGTCCGCGACGCGCAACGCCCCCGACAAGGGCGACGCCAGCTACCCGAACACGGTCGCCGGCAGCACGACCTCCATTACGACGACGGCGGTGTTGAGGCCCAGCGAGACGATCCGCGCGTCGATGGCCGGGGACATCGTGCAGGGCGCGATCTCGGTGAGGGCCCGGGGGGGCAAGGG